TCCCTACAGGTGGCTTAGAGAAGGCTAAAAGCATTTTAGCATTTTAGGCTTTACGCACGACTTTTACCTGTCATTTATGTCAGTTCTGCTCACCTGAGTCCAGGCTCTTCAGGAGTCTGTAGAAGTTGGGGAAGTACTGCAGGTCCTGCAGCCCATCATCTGGGTTCACCTCGTTGGCCTCTTCGTTCTCTCTGTCCCAGCTGTTGTCAGCTCCATCTGTGCCATCGTCCTCCACGTCCCTGTCCACCTCGTCCTCACGCTCATCATCGTCTTCGTCGGCCTCATCGTCGTCCTCGTCGTTGTAACGTCGTTTGGGCAGCTCCCACGTGTCCTGAAAAAAACAAAATCAAATCAAACCTCGACATCTATATTAAGTTAAATTGATCTTTTTCTTTTTTTTTAATTTTTTTTATACCAAATTGTCATCTGAGTCCTGCTCTTCCTCATCTCCTCGTGTTTCCTGGTCGTCGTCCTCCTCGTCCTCAATCTCATTTTTCTTGGCGTTCTTTGTGATGAGGTCTTGCAGCGCCTCGGCGACCTGGTACTCCAGTGTGTCCGCCTGACTCTCTGTGATCTGCACAACGACACAGACACAGGTGGCGTCACTGACAACCAGTAGGTGGGGACAAAAACCCAGAGACCACATCAGAGTCAACGTACCAGCCCCAGTTTGAGAAGTTTGGAGATGATCCTGTCGAACACGCCTCTGTCGTCCTCTTTGTAGATCTTGTTAGCGATCTTCTGAACGATATCTTCTGCTGTCAGTGGAGTGCCGTCGACCTGATGGAAACTCTCTGGGTCATCTGAGAACGAGAAGGAGGAAACACGGATGTTCCCAAAACTATTATTTATTTATTGCAAATATTTTTTCTTTGTTCCTCAATGCGTTACAGGCAGAGCAATTAAATCGTCTTCCGCTAGGAGGCAGCAGTCGGCTGTGAAAACTAAAAAAAAATAAAATAATCAGAGCTGTTAAAGAAGCTCTTTGTGCGTGTCTTTCTTTAATTCCTGCCAGTATATCAGCGTTTTCTTCAACTAAACAGGAGTGCATTTTTAGTAAATTTAAACTAGAAGATTATTATATTTCATTACATATATTTTTGTGAGATTTTTCTTTGGTGGGGGGGCGGGGTTTTTCCTGATTATATATTTATGGTGTGGCTCAAAAATTGTGAAACTGTGAAAACGACTGAATCTTATCTGAAGGTCATCAACGTCCTGTAGTGGAAGTCTGACTCGTCCTTATTTGTTTACGTGAATGTTCTTGAACAACAAAGTCACGTCTTCATCCACTCGGTGTAACCTGATGAGCTGCCTGTTATTGGCAGGAAGAACCAATGAATCAATGAAGTGACGCCGAGACCCTTCAGTTCTGAGTCACCTCACCGCAGGGACGTGGTGCTGACGGTGAGGGCAAATATCCAATGACATCCTCCTGCAGGGAGCTGTGTGCTGATGTCATCTATCCAAGGTGCAATACATGTTTAGTGTACTGCAGTACTGTAAAATTACACCGGGTACAGCAGCCTCCAGTAAGGCAGGTAAGAAGTAACAATAAGTTTCTACAATTGCAATAGAAATGGCGAAAAAATAATTGTGGGAATCAACCTTTAATAACAACTGAAAATTTGATAGTGTGAATCTTTGCAATTCTCACCAGTGGACACCGGAGGCACTGTTCAGAGTGTGGTTCCTCTGGGACTTGAACACATGACCTACTGCATGTAAGGCAGGTGTGTAAAGCAGACAAATACCCTGGCTACGTAATGTTTTTTCAACCGATTGTGAACCAAAAATAATTAATGTTAAGCAAAAAAAAAAATAAATAAAAAATTGTGTTATATAAAATGATTTCTTTTAAGTACCATGATTGTCTCTCGGGTCAGACGTTGGGCATACCCGCTGTTTTAACAAAGCTAATTTACAAAAAAAAGTTCCCAATGTGTAAAAGAAAACTTTTACCCAAAAGAAGCAAACATGACCTCTGCATTTTATCCATCACCAGAGTCAGCAGGGGGCAGCACCCGTGTGTGGTGATGGTGCCATGCTCGGAGCACCTCAGTGGTAACCTGTCAGCTGGTGGACTTGAACCTGAAACCTTAGGGCCCAAGTCTGCTTCCTTAACCACCAAGCCACTACTGCCCCTAGTGGGCAAAGTATTTATAATAATAGACCAGCCTGACTGGACTGTCATCACAGGGACAAACCTCCGCCTCGTAGTTAAAGAACATTGTATTTTTCAGCTTTGTCTACAGCAGCGAGTGAGCGGCAGATATTTTCTCTCTCTCTCTCTCTCTTGCCAACATTCTTGTCTTTGTCTCTCTCTCTTTTCCATTCACGTCTTCTCTCAAGGTCACTCTAAAATACCCGCCTTGACCTAGTGTTTCCAGCACAGATTGCTGCGTACCCTGGTATTTATCGCTGGTGACGCCGTTCTTGGTGGAGTCGTAGTCCTCGGCCAATCGTCTGGTCTTGGTGGAATCGGATTCATCAGGAATGTATTGATCCTCCTCCTCCGACTGTTTTCCTGTGGTTTGCTTTGATTTCTGGCTGTCGGCCAGTGACTTCAGCACAGTCAAGTCATCGCTGTCCTGACGCGGCGCTGCGTCCTTGGCCGCAGCCGTACGTGAGCTCTCTGAAGGTGGAGAAAAAAAAAAAAAGTTAAATGCAGAAACACCAGAGATATTAGTCTGTCACGTGACTCTGCTCTGATCCCTGGGATTTCTCATTAAAGAGGACGCCTTACAGGAAGTCAGGAAACATGAGTCCACGCAGCCAGCTGAAATAAAGTCAGTCATTGATTGGAAAATAAAAACCTAGGTTTCTTCTTACCAGCTGCCTGGATCGCGGCCTTCACGCTGTCCGCCTCAGCGATCTGTGGAAATAATGAAAATTAAACAGATAATTTCCTGCGGTCAGTCTCTGGTTCATCCTGTTTATGTCACGGGTCACCGTGGAAACGAACCCACCTGCTCCTGGAGAGGCTTTTCTTCTGTTAAGTCTCTGATGGACATGGTTTTATCTGACCAGGAAAGAAGACGGCGTTATTTCAGCGACATTTCAATATTAAGACAAGATGATTTTATTTATTTATTTATTTTTTATTTTAAATCTGATTCTGAGGTCAACTGTAGTAAAATCAGACCCAGTAGGATTTTTTTTTCTTTTCTCTTTCTTTTTCTTTTTGACCACAGCCTGAAGACGATTTTTCTTAAACCATCAGCAGTGGGGTGACTATATTATTTAAATTATTAACTACTGTATTTGCGCAAAATATATTTATATATTTTTTATTTTATGGCCTTTTATTTCTCTTGGTATTTTCATTTGAATGCTGCTTGGCATCACCAGGCCTTTCCTCCAGGAAATGTTTTATTTTAGTCAAGTTCTAAAAAGAGGAACTGAAAGAAGTGACCACTTCAAAATAAAATGCAGGGAAACATGATTAAAAAAAATAAAAACAACTATTTTTAAATGTAACTGTTACTTTAACTTTTTTTTTTTTCTAAATGTAACTGTTAACTTTTTTTTTTCAATGACGCCCAACCCAGTACTGGTCCCCAACCCATTGGTTGAGAACCCTTGCTTTAGGCTACCTGGAAAAAACAAATTGCCCCTAAAAAATGGTGGCAACTTAAAACTGCAATAATACTGTACGAGTCCCACGTTTCATCATCTACACACGCTGCCAGCATTACTCCATGTGGGCTGCACTTCACGTGGCCCATATAATCATCGCTGCTCCTAGGTTTTATACCTATGGTCCATGGAGACCACGCACATATTTAAGGTCATCTGTCTTTAATAGAAATTCTCAGGTGGACAGTCTGTAATCTTGGTTGTTGACCATCGTCCAGACCAATGGGATCGTTACTGTTTCCACAGTTCACCCGAGAAGAAACTGGTCTTAATCGGATTATCAAAAAAAAGATTAAAGCGCGACCAAAATAGACCAGTCAGGCGGACTAACACCGGGACCTGTCCCTGTCCCTGTCCCTGCAGAACCCCGGCGACACGGCTGTTTTCTTTGTCTTTTATATTAACTTTTCCCCTACTCTTAGGTTAACAGTGGTATCTAGTTACTACTTCGCTAGTACTTGAAAATCTGGACAGAGACAGCAGAGAAAGTACAAAAGAAACGATCGAATTTTCCTGCGATATCGTATTTCTGTTGTTGTTTTTTTCTTTTATTGATCAGACAAAAACTGTCTGTTTTTTTTTGTTTTTTTTTGCTAACATATAATAAAGTACCATCTTGACAGTTATTGTCTAGACTCACCCTCGGCTGGTGCTCTCGGGGTAGGGAAGGCTGATATGTGGCTGATCACAGTCAGGGTTAAGAGCTGAACCAGGACCAGCAGGTGGCCGTGGTTGGTCATCCTGGAATAATGTTGTCGGCTGCCTGTAGAAGTCTCCAGGCTGTCTGGGGTCTGGTTCTCAGGTCTGGTTCTCAGGTCTGGTTCTGAGGTCTGGTTCTGAGGTCTGGTTCTTCTTTATGTCTCCTCCGGTGGCGATGGAAGAAGCTGGAGAGAGCGCTGAATGTGCGGACAGCTCCGCCGCGCTCCAGCCGCTGCTGGTGCTGAAAGTGCCGCAGCTTTGGCCGCTCTGTCTGCGGGTGGAGGGTGGATGAGAATGGATGGATCCGCGCCTGTGTCTGAAGCCAGGTCACCTTTAGTTTAATTATAAGGCAGATAAGCTGAGCTCGTCAGGCCCCATGTGAGCCACAGCATCACCTGCTACGGCAGTAATAGAGATCTGTACGAGCAGAGACCTGCCCCCTTCTGGCTGCACGGAGAAAGAGGAGGAGGAGAAGAGCAGGAGGACGCTGTAAAAAGTGTCCATAATATTACTGACTTACCAAAGTCACCACACAGATAACATTTTGATATTAAATATTAAACACATCCACAAATTTCCTATTGTCAAATAAATATAAATTATAATTTTATATATGACATTAACTTAATGTCCACACAACAAGATGAACCTAAATTGAATTTAGTTTCTTACTGTTGAAATTGTAAATCAAAAGTTTCCTTATCCAGAACCAGGATGAAAACCTTTGACCTTTTTGCTGTAAGGCACCTATAATAACCACTGAGCATACTGTTATAAAAGCATTTTTATCCGTCTGAAATTCCTCTGTATCTCCATAGTCTAATTTGTCAAATATATTCATTTGCTGTATATTCTGACCTGAGTGCTGTCTGTTCTTACAGCAGCAGAATACGCTGCTGATCTGTTCATTTAGTTCAGTTTAACGGAGCAAATCAGCTGGTGATTCAGCAGAGGCTCCTGTGCTGCTGACGGGGCAAAGACTCTGCTGAATCAGGAGCGTCGGTTGAATTCCCTCTAAAAATCACTGCTGGGAGAAAACGTCTTATTTTGCCTGTCTCTTACTTTTAGTTCGTTTGTCCGGTAATAATTAATTATTCTCTCATTAAGTCAGTCTGTTTATTGCATTAAGTTAGCATTTGACTCAACTACACAAAATAATAAACAGTTTATTTACTGTGCGCTACTGGATGAATAGAATGTGACCCCATGGCAAATATATGTATATATACATGTGTACACTTATACAGCTATAAACATATATATGTATATATTTTTTATATATATGCATACATAGATATGTGTTTTTAGATGTATATACATGTATGGATACATATACAGTATATGTATGTATACTGTACATGTGTTTTTTAACATCCTAAATTGTGTAAACTGTGTCTTATTTCTTGCAGTGTGAGGACAGGAAACCCCGCCCCCTTCCCTGCGTCACTGACAAACCTGCGTCATAGTTGTAGATCTTCCACTGATCAGCAAATAGAAACCTTTATTAAAAATCCCTTACAATTAGTCACACAAACAAAGGGGAGACGATATATTAGGGCACTTTATGACCGCGCTGCACTTTATGAGCTCGGTGTTTTTCTAACGAGATGTGGGCCGCGTGAATGGGTGTCTGGTGAATGGAACTGCATGTGTGGACTTGTTAGGTCAGTGTCCAGAGGACAACACAGACGCCAAACATAACACGCTTCAATTCCCTGCTTGTTTTGTTGGACTGCAATGCAGAAAAACAAACAAAACAAAAACAAAACTTGAACTGAAGTTTGTCTTAGCGACTGTGTAGCATCACAATGTAGCAACATACTGTAGCTAAAAACAAAAGTTCGGAAATTCGTGAAGTATTACGTCAAATGTGGTTGTGAGCAGAAAATATAAATATAAAAATATACAGTACCGTATATGAGAGTAGTCGTCTAAATGTTAGCTAAATATATAAATAAGTAAAGCAAAAACTAATACCAACGGCCAAAGGCAAAGCTGAAAATTAGCTAGGTAGTTAGCTATAAGGTTAGCCACAAATGATCGAGTGATTCAATAGGTTCTTAAAAACGGCTGGAGTTAGTCTAAAATGCTATTGGTCAAAAAGCAGCAGCTTCTCGGAAATACCTTAAATGTAGACAAAATAGCAAAACGGTTAATATGATAAACCAAACCTTGAGGATAGATAAGAAATACCTAACAAACAAACAAAAAGGGTCAGAAACAGCACAAATAAAGAACAACAAACAAAAAAGGGTCAGAAACAGCACAAATAAATAAATAAATCTATATGAAGACAAAATATATACAATTGATGAAATAATTGCCCTTGAAAAAATAGCAAAAATAGTCAGAGACAGAAATTGTTAAATAACATGCAATCTAGAAAAAATAATTATAAATGAACCTATAAATGTTAAAAACTTGAATAATTATGACATACAGTACGTGAGATGTACAGTATTACTCAGTAAAAAGGCTGTTTATATTTGTTTTGTTTGTCTTGTTATTCAATATCAGTTGTTCTCTTCCCCACTCATGTGTGGGAGTGAACTGTTGTGTTTGACTCTGTCAAAACTCGGAGACCATTTGTGCGTTTGTGTGTGTGTGCGTTTCTCTCCTTCCACATTCAATGTAATATTTCTTGCACCTTTCCTTCTTATTAACCCCTGACCGTCACTCAGTGACTGGACCAAGTGTCAGTGCTGTGCAGTAACACAGAGGCAGAAATCAATTCATCTGCGTCAGTTCTTGTCGACAGACTCTAGAGACAAGTCAGAGAAAAGGTTTGTGTGGGCGTGCAGAGGCGTCCACACAGGGAGACCATACAGTTCTGTAAGGTCTGCTGCAGAGTGAAGAAAGAAGCACAGAGAACACACGCTACACACGAAGCATTTTGTAATCGACTGGATTTATTTATAAGGTTGAAAATCCCATAATACAAAGGTTACATTTTTTACTACAGAAAAATAAAATAAATGCTCTTGACATTTGAATCAAGTTTAAGCTTGTTTATCCTTCACACAAACCAGGGAGTTACTGCAGAAAAACATACAGTAGTTTATGGTTCAGGCCGTCATAGAACTCAAAAAACCAAGTGTCTCGACAATAAAACCTAGTAATTAATTTAATCTATGTTTTTAATATTTATATATGTAATATTTGTTCTTAAAGGCTGAATCTTTTGTGAAGGTGGTTGGTGGTAGTAAATGTATCTTTGTTTTAAGTTGTCTTTCAGTTTATTTATACATTTTATTGTCATTTTTGTTTCTTTATTTGACCTGTTACCAAAAGACCTCCAGACACCAAATTTAACTATCCACACTGCCATCTGCTGGTAATAGTAAGTAACATCTTGACCCGTGGATTGGATTTTGAAGGAAATATCAAACGTTATTTTTTAAGGACTTTTATTAAGAACATTAAGTCATACTGTGGCTGGATTGTAAGGTCATAAAGCCGCCACATTTATTAGACTGCTGCAGTGAATTGTTTTCAAAGTATCAGAACAACCGCAACGATGTAATGACGGACGGACAGTGACCACAACATCTGCATCAACCACATTTTGACCACACCATCCCTACCACCACCATAACAAGAATAAATAATAGTGAGCATATAACAAATACAATACTTAACCCTGAGTAAGAGTAGGTTAGCGTTTACTAACTCAGTTTTAAAAAAGCGAACAATTAAATGGGTGTAACTTTTAACGCGTCCACTTTTTATTTCTCCATTTTTGGCAACTTACGTATCGGGGCGAATGTCTTATTTCTCACCTTTGTCCTTTTTTAAAGTCTGACTCCAAAGAATATCTGCTGTTGTGATGCTTGTTGTCTCCAGCAGATGTCAGCACACACCATCCATAATTTCTAACAGCGTTGGGTTCGTCGTCTCTTGTAAACAAAGATGGCGGTCATGTCGGAATGACCACATTCATTCGCATTAGTTTGATTTTGTGAGTTTTAAGCCGGGGATATGTGTTTGCTGACGTGGTAGAATCTGTAGTTCAGTCAGAAAATACTTTAAATGAATTAAGTACCGAGGGACACAGTGTGGTGCTTCACGAGTTCTCGTTCTGGTATCTATTACAACAAGCTGTTCCGCTAATCTAGTTCATTCTTCACCTCAGGGAGTATAATGTCACAACTACGTTCTTGTTCACTGCTTCACATTGAAGTTTGAAATCTTCACAGATTGGCAACTTCTAGTGACTGTTGTTCGTAAACAGTATTTTCTAAACATAAGTATAAGTAATTAGACAAAACAAAAACTTTCACTTTTAATTGCACGTTTCCCAGTTCCCTAATTTCGGTCCCACTGTTGATACTGTTGTACACACTCCGATCCTGTAGCTGGCAGTATACTTTAATGAATTGATACATTTGAAAAATGTAACAATGTCCCACCACTGGTAGACGCTGGGATTCTTGTTCAAACCTGAACTGCCATCAATTGTGTATCACTCACTTTCATATGACACTGAGGTTTAACCGTTTTTAAAGGACATTAAAAAATCTAAGTGACAGACGGAGACCTATAGGACCTCTTGGTTGGCTGCTTTCCACTGATTGATTTACAGAATCTATATCTTCTCTAATGGTGAGTGGATTGTCCTGATGTGCAGTGGGGGTGAAGGGTGACACAGTCTGCACTGGGAAAATGACCACACAACAGATTTAGTCATGCACAAAAACAGGGACCTTGACAAAGGCTCTGAAGGAGTCTTTATTACTGTGAATGTTTTTTTTTTATTCCACTGTTCACTGTATTCTCCAGAGAATAAACAAAAGAACCTGAATTGCACGAATTCCCCAAACTTCGATCTGTTATTGGTAATTTCACGTCATTTATCGTTTGTTGATTGATTTCATATTCATAGATGAATGATTTGCTTCTCTGTCCAATTCTCACTGTATGGATTGATTGGACTCCTGATCACATGACTGGCTAATGTTGATTCTTCATAGATCAGAGAGCATGAACATCAACAAGAGTTAGCAATTACTGACTGACTGACGGTGGCGTCAGATCCACTGACACCTTTGTTCTGTGGAACTTTTTTTTTACTATATTTCATTCCCATCACAGGAGATTGCCAACTGTGTGGCCCATTTCTGCAGTAGACTGTGTTGCAGCCAAATGATCTTTTGTTTCAACTGCCAATGACTAAGACAAACACATCTGCAGAGATACAATTATCAACTGAATGACCTTGAAGGTGCGGTCAGTCCATTAGTACTGCGCCACGGCGCTGGTAGCTAGCATGGAGTGTGGATGTTTCTGTTGAACGGATGTTTTGCCAACGAGTAAACCAGTCTGTCTCTGCGGTCAAGATCCGGGTCCTGCCACCTACTGGAGTTAATTTAGAAGCGCATTACGCTGTGGTTGATTTGTGTAAAGCTTTGTGACGCAGTTTAATTTGAATTCATACGTTAATACATTTT